CCGCGGTAGAAAGGACTTTGGCTATTAAAATTATTAGGGAGAATTGTTTAAAAGAGCGGAGAAATTTTGATTTTAAAAAGGTTAAAGATTGCTCGAATTTTAAGAGCAATCCTGATTTAAACGGGTTCAAAGTAGAATCTCGTGGAACGAGGGGTTTAAATTTTAAGAAAAAGAAGAATTTTAAAATTCAAGAGAAAAAGGAATGTTGGCAGTGCGGAAAACAAGGGCACTTCCGTTCCGAGTGTCCATCACTTTCTGTTTCACAGCAGGGAAAATAGGTTTTGTCGAACTTTCAGGGGCGGGCTCGACAAATGGAAGAAAGCCCCAGGTGTTTATAGGCGTTTTGAGAGAGGGTGTGAAAAATCAGGATTTCACCTTTCTCAAGGAAATTTTGTTTTCCAAGGTTCTCTTAATGGGAGAGACTGTTTTTTTAAATTGGATACGGGCTCCGACGTGACCTTGGTGAGTAGTAAATTTATAGGGAGAAAAGGGAAGCGTTTTTCAGCAAAGGAAGAAAATTTGAGGTATCCTACGGGGGAAAGGGTCCCGATCAGTTTTAAAATGTTCACTAAGATAAAGTTAGGGAGATTTAATTTAGAGTTACCGATTTTTGTTGCCGATATTGGAGAGGATTGTATTTTGGGCGCGGATTTCTTTTCACGAATAGGGATGCAAATTGTAATAGAATCTTTTCTCCGTGGAGGTCATAGGGAAGGTTTTTGTCGTCGGATTAAGCAAGAGGACGAAGCTGTGCCCGCGGAGTTGGAAGAATTCTTTGATAATAATTGCCGGGAGTTGGAGGTAGATCAGAGAATAGTTTTCTCTACATTGTTGCGAGAATTTCGTGACGTGTTTTCGGAGCAAGCTGTTGCAGGAAAGTGTGTTCTTCAACATAAAATTGAATTAATGGATTCTTGTCCTATAAACAGGCTCCTAGGAGAATTCCAATTCATATGCGTTCAGAAGTTGAAAAAATTATGGAAGACATGAAAGAACAAGAGGTAATTGAAGAATCTTCAAGCCCTTAGGTTTCTCCAGCAATTTTGGTAAAGAAGAAAGATGGATCTCTTAGATTTTGCATTGATTTTCGGAAATTGAATGCGGTTACGAAAAAAGATTCTTATCCGCTACTAAGGATTGACGATCTTCTTGATCAGTTATCGGGAAATGCCTGGTTTTCCTCTGGATTTGAAGAGTGGTTATTGGCAACTGAAAATTCGTCCCGAAGATAGGGAAAAGACTGCTTTTTCTGTGGGGAATGGACTTTGGCAATTTGTTGCAATGTCTTTTGGTCTGTGTAATGCCCCGGCTACCTTTGAACGTCTTATGGAACGGGTGCTTCGGAGTTTACTTTCGAAAATTTGCCTGATTTATTTAGATGATGAGATAGTATTTGGCAAAACCTTTGAGAAAATGAAAGAGAATTTAAGAGAGGTTCTTCTGAAATTTCGTGCTGCGAAACTTAGTGTTAACCCAAAGAAATGTAATTTATTTAGGAGACAAGTAAAATATTTGGGTCATGTTGTTTCTTCTGCCGGGATCGCTACGGATCCTGAGAAGACTGAAGCGGTCACTGAGTGGCTAGTTCAGAATAAGAAACAGGTCCGAAGTTTTCTTGGATTTTGCTCTTATTATCGGAAGTTTGTTAAGGGATTTTCTTCAATTGCGAAGCCTTTGTTTAAGTTAACTGAGAATTTGACTAAATTTGATTGGACCGGACAATGTCAAATAGCATTTTTGGGGTTAAAACAGGCATTAACGTCTGCACCTCTTCTTTCCTTTCCGAAGGGGGAAGGAAAGATGATTTTGGATACGCATGCTTCAGGTTTTGGAATAGGGGCGGTACTTTCACAAGTTCAGGACGGCTATGTGAGGGTCATTGCTTATTATAGTCGGGTTTTGAACAAGCCTGAGCGGAATTATTGCACAACAAGAAGAGAGTTATTAGCTTTGGTAGATTCGATGAAACATTTTCATCATTATTTGTACGGAAAGAGTTTCTCTATTCGAACTGATCATGTTTCTTTGAGATGGTTGATGTCTTTCAAAGACTTGAAGGGACAATTGGCTCGCTGGATGGAAAGGTTACAATAATACGATTTTGATGTTGCTCATCGAAAGGGGATTATACATGGTAATACCGATGGTCTTTCGAGACGCCCTTGTGTAGAAGAAAAATGTAGATTCTGTTCTAAAGTGGAAGTTCAGAGAGAGCTTTTTGAGGATAAAATAGTTGCTCGTATTGTTTTGCGTGAGGATTCTTCTGAGGATTGGCGAAGGGCTCAAATAGAGGATCAGGAACTGGCAATGTTTTTACTTGCCAAAGAAAATGATATGCGACCTTCTTGGGAGGAAGTTTCTTCGAAAGGATTGTCAACCAAGATTTATTGGCATCAATGGCATGCCTTGGAAGTCCAAAATGGGATTTTACATAAGAGATGGGAGGCTCCTAATTTGACAAACAGTTTTCTTCAGTTGATGATCCCGCGAAGCAAAGTGAAACAGATTTTAGAAGAAGCTCATGATACTCCTTCTGGAGGGCATTTCGGGATCAATAAAACGCTGGAAAAGATCCGGAAGCGTTTTTATTGGGCAACCTGTAAAAAGGATGTTGAGGAATGGTGCAGAACCTGTAAGATTTGTATTGCGAAGAGGAGTGCTGCGGATAAGGGGAAATCTCCTTTGCAGATCTTTAATTCGGGAGCTCCTTTTGAGAGGATTCAGATGGATATTTTAGGCCCGTTACCTGTTTCTTCTTCAGGCAATAATTATCTCCTAGTTGTTGTAGATTGTTTTACTAAATGGGTAGAGGCTTTTCCTTTGAAAAATATGAGAGCTACTACGGTAGCAGAAATTTTTGTTCAGGTTGTTTCTAGATATGGGGTCCCGTTGGAACTTCATACTGATCAGGGAAGGAATTTTGAATCACAGCTCTTTCAAGAATTAATGAGAATTTTGGGAATTAGGAAAACGAGGACCGCTCTTCATCCTCAGTCTGATGGTCAAGTTGAAAGACAACATCAGACAATTTTACAGTATTTGTCAAAGTTTGTTGAAGAGAATCAAAAGGATTGGGATCGTTCCCATGTTTCTTCTTGCCTATAGGACCTCTAAACATGAGGCTACTGGCGTAACTCCTTCAGAAGGCGTAACTCCTTCCTTTGTTTTGCGGAAGAGATCTTACCTTGCCGATGGATTTGCTAAGAGGTACTCCTCCCAGTTTGGTTTTTCCGAGTCAGCGGAGGAGTACGTTCGGAATTTGCGGCAGAAGCTGGATGAAATTCATCAGAGAGTAAGAGAGAGATTAGAATCAAGGTCTTTGAAGATCAAATGCCGCTATGATCGAAAGGCTAGGCATCCCGTTTTTGAGGAAGGACAGAAGGTTTGGTTATTTAATCCTCATCGTAAGAAGGATAGGTCTCCCAAACTACAGAACGATTGGGAGGGGCCTTTTGAGATAATTAAGAAAATTAGTGATGTAGTTTTCTGTATTTCTCGTTCAGGTGGTCGGAAAAGCAAGGTTGTGCATGCCGACAGGTTAGCTCCGTTTAGAGAAAGGGAAGAATTTTAAGTAGGTTTTTTAAGAGGTTTTCGGGGCCCGGTTTTCTAATTTTGATATTACTTTTATTTCTTGTTAATTGTTTTGAGTTACTGTTTTCTGTTTTATCTTTCTAGCTTCCTTCCGTCGTGAGAAGCGTCGTAGGGAGATCCTCGAGCCTGAGCACCAAGCAAAATCTTCAAGCTCATGCTTCAAACTGAAAAGAAGT